GATATTGAACAATACACTTTATATCACGTACTTTAAGAAATTACGTTTTATTCCACTTTTATTATTACTAATGATGTTTTTATAAATCACTACATCCTGATTAACAGCATTAAAGTCACCGCAGCGGAAAACTATTTGAAAATAGGTTAGTTGATTTAGTACATTGAATTATTTAAACTGCAAAACTAGAATTATTGTTTTACACTCATATTTTTTCATTAATTTATGATTAAGGAATTTATAAGTTGTTTGAAAACCTCGCAACAATTTCAAATTGGAGAGCATTTTATGAGAATGTTTTTAAATCACCAGGATAACTTATGAGAATAATAATAAAATTGATAATCTAATAGTGTTACTCTGATATGTAACGTATTTATGAGATCTGTGATGCGATGGATGAGAATAAAGAACTACTTTAAAAATTTTTGTCGCATATTTTTTAAACAAGAAAAGATTAAATTAAAAAAACAATAATTCGTTCATCATCTCAATGCTGATTCATAAAAATATTTAGAATTTTTTGTACTATAAAAACAAGCACTTAATAGAATAAACGGTCGATGATCGAGCAAATAGTGAACAAATTTATTTTTAAAAACATATAATTAGTTGAAAAAATATATTAAAAAAGATATTTATAAATTATACCTAATCTAAGCGGTTTCACGTCATATACTATTTAGCTTATACAGTTCTATCACAGCTCAACGCATCGAATGTTCATGTACCGTTTTTAGAAAATGACATGTTAAAACGATTTCTTGTGTTATCATAAAAACAGTACAATATCCTACATCCGTTTGAATTTTTAAAAGAAGAAAAGATGTTGTCATGGCGTGTGTCAGAGCCAGAATATTTTTATTTTCATCTTAGTTGTTCTGAGGACTTGTTATTAAAATAACATGTAATGAAAGTAGAAAATGATAGTATCTTTACTAGTAGTATAAATAACCATTAAAGCACATAGCGCTTCGATGATGTTCTGACAAAATACAAGCAAGACATATCTGTGTTAGGTTTGCATATAAGTAAAAGGTTTGTGAAGTTCGAAAAAACAACAATGGTTTTATAGTAAAGAAAATAGCTTATTATTATACAGTTCTATGCTACATATATATTATATGCACGTTTTCGAGGTAGGAAGTATTTAAATTTAACTATAGTTTGTAATATAAATAAATGTATTTGTTAATCTGTACATCCATTCATTAACACACAAGATATCAGTGCTAAAAATACAAATTTTATTTGCCACCAGCTGACGATATTATATACAAGAAATAGCGAGGAAGGAAAATTAAATATGTGTTTGATTGTACCGTGTGTGAAAAAATGTACGGAGGATGAATAAATTAAAGAAACGAACGCAACAACTAAGAAATCTATATTAAAAATTTTCTTCTACTGTAAGATAATTCTTATCAAGCCAAAAACAACTTTCTATCGAATGCTAGTTAAAAAAATGAAAAATTACTCATATTTTTGTAAGAAATAAAAAATTTTCTATTTTTATTTGATTCTCAATTTTCTAAACGCACCTAGTCATAAGTTGTGGTTGATATCAGATACAACACCAATACAGATAAAAAAATAGTTTTAAAAATATTGCTGAAAACACGAATCGTGTATAGGCAAATGATATAATCGAAACAATTAAAACAAGTTTTATTAGACTTTATCAATTTGAATTCATCGCTTCCTTAATGAACTAACGCAACTAGTAGTTTAGTAATATTCTTTTATTATGTATATTTTGTACCATATTCAAATAAATAAAATGTTTTTATGGTTCATTTGGATCACATGGTGTCTATTCACGCATTTATATTTCACTTTGTACCAAGAGCGAATCAATAGTCGGCATAATTAAAATATTATGTGAATAAAACGATTATAAATCTTAATGTAGTAGTTATTCAATATTTTTAACGTATGTATAATATTTCAAGTTTACAGTGTTGCAATTTTTAATTCCAACTAATCATTTAAATCACACACATTGATATGATGTTAATGTAGTTCTTTATATTCATTATTAAAGAAAAGAATAGTTGTATCTAAGACCCAAACCAAGCATAACTGACAGTGTTAACAATTTTCAACAAAAATGGTTATTTGCTGAATATCTATTTCACTACGAATGTGGTGGTATGAAAATGTAATAAATAAATTTAATTTACTTCACTATATATTTAGATATGTAACTTGAATTTTTAATGACGTACGTTTGACTGTATTAGAAATTTCTTATTTACTTATTTTTATTCTATCATGAACTTTTGACCGTAAACATTCTTCTTTTTCTCAGTCAGTATATTTTTGGTTGGAAAGGTGCAAGTTATTAAAGAATTTCTCGCAATGTACATTTTGGTTCGAAACAGCGTCATCAAAATACAAAAGATAAGAATTCAAAAATTAATTTCAAAAATATTATATTTCATTCTACATAGGAACGAAAAAAAGATACAAAAAAATATTGTGATAAGAGAGAATAATTGCAAAAAATAAATTAAT